AAGTCTCTGGCAGGCCGGAAAAGGCCCGAAAATCAGGTGGGAGGCGCGCACAGTGAGGTAAGTTGGGCTCGCGTGCGTGCACAAATGGCTCACAGGTGGCACGCGTGCCATAGGTCCTCCATCATGGGTATAAGGTCTCCTGCCGTGGGCTAGAAGTTGGACTAGAAGACCTCTAGGGTCCCTTTCTAGTGCCAAGACTCCACCTTCTATGTGTCCAGAGGCATCAAACTGCTGGACTTGCTGTTTTCTGCCCAGGAGAAGATGCCGAAAGGATTAGAGACTCAGCCAAAATGGATCTCCACGTCTGCTTTCAATTCAGGGGAGGAAAATATATCACTTTGACGAGCCGATTTGATTTGCATTACCTTCGACTCTCACCGCCCCTCATCAAAGCTTGCACATCTCTAAGTGATTATTGTCAAACTATATTAAAAGCAGGCCACGGGAACATGACAAATTAGGGAGGCAGTCGAGGCGAAGAGGCGGACAGAAATCCCCGCTGCTAAATGGGGGGTGTCACTTCCACGAGGTAAGAAAAAATCAGGAAATCAACTCTGCGGGAAGGTTAAAATAACGTTTAGGGAGATCGGCTGTATTGTAATGTAGGCAGTCCCTGAGTTACAACCACAATGGAGCCACAAGATATCTGTTGCTAAGCAAGACAAATGAGTTTTGATCACCTGACCATGGGGAAAAATACAACAGTTGCTTGCTTGCCTATCTATCTGTCTGTCTATCAATCCATCTATCCATATCTATCATCTGTCTGTCTGTCTGTCTGTCCATCCATCTATCTTATCTATCTATCTATCTATCTATCTATCTATCTATCTATCTATCTATCTATCTATCTATCTATCATCTATCATCTCTGTCTATCAAACCATCCATCCATATCTATCTATCATCATCTCTCTGTTCGTCTATCTATCTATCTATCTATCTATCTATCATCTATCATTCTTCTATGTATACTGAGAGTATTTACACTAAGACAAATTCCTTGTGTGTCCAATCACACTTGGCCAATAAAGAATTCTATTCTATTCTATTCTATTCTATTCTATTCTATTCTATTCTATTCTATTCTATTCTATTCTAGCCTATCCATCCATCCATCTATCCATCTATCTATCTATCATCTATCATCTCTATCTAATTATCAATCCATCCATCCATATCTATCTATTGATCTATCTATCATCTCTCTCTCTGTCTGTCCATATCTATCTATCTATCTGTCCATCCATCCATCCATCCATCCATCTATCCATCCATCATCTGATTTGTTTGTCCAAAGTACCTGAAGGCAGGACAAGAAACAATGGATGGAAACTAATCAAGGACAGAAGCAACCTGGAATTAAGGAGAAATTTCCTAACAGGGAGGACAATAAACCAGTGGAACTACCTGCCTCCAGAAGTTGTGGGTGCTCCATCACTGGAGGTTTTTAAGAAGAGTCTAGACAGTCACTTATCTGAAGTGGTACTATAGGGTCTCCTGCATGAGCAAGGGGTTGGACTAGAAGACCTCCTAGGTCCCTTCCAACTTTGTTATCCTGTATTCCATATTCCATAAATATTGTTTGTTTACTTACTTTACTAGATTTGTGTACAGCCCATCTCTTGTCGAGGCGACTCTAACACAAGTTCAGTCTTCTGCCAACCACACAGTTGTCTTTTGTCTCCTGATGTGATTTCCTTCCATCATCATCATCATCATCATCTTAAAACAGGAACGTCTCACCACCATTTGCTATTTCACAGCTGACAGGGCAATTGACAAGTTATTAAACGAGGGAGTGTGTCAGTCGGTGCTCCATTCAAAATCCAAGAAAGAAATACTCAGACTCCATAGGTTAGAGCAAAGTTTTTTCTTTTACTGAAAATCCCAAGTGGAAGCTACAGGTTGAATTCTGAATCTAAAGAATTTGGCGCGCAGATCACATATACAAAGGGATGGAGTTGTTCCCACCCCCCAAAGTCCAAAAGACTCTTCCAATTAAAAGTTCTGAATATGGTCATGTGGCCATCTTCAGGTGGTGATGAGGCCTCTGTCCGTTGACCTTGGCATATTTTGATAAAACTTCGCAGCTGCTGCGCAAAGGATAGAAAAAGCTAGGCAAGGAAATAGAAACTTAAGAACAGGAATTTATACTCCCCCTCCTCCTTCCCATTTACAGCATAGGAATGTAACACCTCCAGTTTTCTTCCCCTCCAATTCCCCCCCCCCTTACTAATGACAGCCGAAAGATGGAGCAGTAAGAGAGATGCAAAGCAGCACAAAAGATGTAGAAGAGATCATCTTGAAGGCTGATATAGCGCTTCGTCTCCTGCCTTTGGCCCCAGGACTGCCCACACTTGGCACTTCCCTGTCATCCAAGATGGGTTCAACCTGGGAGAAGGAGGGACACCCTCGTCTGTGCTCCGTAATGGTCCCCTGGCAGGGTCGGGGGGATGTGGCATGGACCTCGGCTTGTCAAGAAAGGCCAGGAAAGTGAATCCCCTGTTCTGTTTAAAAAAAAAAAAACAACCCTCATTTCTTACTTTAAAAACTACAAAAGGGGAGGGGAGGGGAAGAGGAGAAAGGAGGGAAGGGAAATGGTGTGAAAAAGGAGGGAAGGAAGCAAGGAAGGAAAGAGGAAGAGGAGGGAGAAGGAGGAGAAGGAGGGAAGGAAAAGGGAGGGAGGGAAGGAAGGAAGATCAGGAGGAGGAGAGAGGAGGGAGGAAGGAGAACAGCAGGAGGAGGAAGAGAGGGAGGGAAGGAAAGAAGGAAGAACAGGAGGAGGGGAGAGAAGGAAGGAAGGAGAACGGCAGGAGGAGGAGGAGAGGGAGGGAAGGAAAAGGGATGGAGGGAAAGAAGGAAGAACAGGAGGAGGAGAGAGGAGGAAGGAAGGAGAACAGCAGGAGGAGGAGGAGGAAGGAGAACAGGAGAAGGGGAGAAGGAAGGAAAAGGGAGGGAGGGAAGGAAGGAAGAACAGGAGGAGGAGGAGGAAGGAAGGAGGGGAAGGGGAGAAGGGAGGGAGGGAAGAGGGAAGGGAGGAAAAGGGAGGGAAGGAAGAAAGGGGGAAATGAGAAGGAGGAGGGAGAAGGAGGGGGAGGGGGGAAAAGGGAGGATGGAGGGAGAGGGGATGGAGGAAGGAAGGAAGGAAGAAAAGAAGACTTGTCAAACCTTTCAAGTTAAGGCTGATCTCCATGACAATTTTGGAAGATAATAGCTGAGCTCCAATGTTGCCTTAAAAGAGGCCACCAGGTTAAGAAAGAATACGGTTTATCGTTTTCTGCATCGCTCATCGCATGAACACAAGCAGTGTTTGTGTTATTCCAGATGGACTGGTCAGCCAGTTTGGAGAACAAAGCCACCCTGTTAAGGGTAAGGTCAACCCAGCTGAGATGTATTTTTATCCCTTGACCATCCAAAACTAGGATCAACATTCATTCTGCTCAAAGCAAAATCCAAATAGCTGACTTTTCGGGAACAACATGTTGTTGAGTCATCCAATTTCACAAAAAGATGTTTCTCCTGGAGCATCTGACAGGCAGCTCCAGCTGTGAATCGCCTGACTCTTCACACTTTGCCAGAATCAACACACAAAGCACTGGTTTTGTTCCTCCAGAAGAAAACAAATCCATCAAAGGCAATTTAAGGGCCTGTCAATCCGGCCCAAACCAGCCGTCCATGGTCCTGGAGAAGATTTCCAGATCCGGGTTTGCAAAGGTCTAAAGAGCCACTAGAGGGCAGGAACAAAAAAGCTGGGAAGAAAAAAAAATGAACTCTTTGTCTCCACCTAGTGTTAAGTTGTATATTAGCACTCTTTTTTCTTTCTTTTTTTGGCAGAGCTGTTGGTTTGCAAAGCCAGTTTGCAGCCACCCGCCGAGCTCCGCTTCTCGCGGACCAAACTCTTGGAAAACTCAAGAGTTATGGAGGTCAGTTCTAGAGATTAACTGAGCCATCTGTGGGGGGAAAAATGGCCTGGAAATGCAGTATGACCCTGAACCCCCTCCCATATAAAGGGAAATGAAACAGAAAATTAGTCCACATGGTTGAGAAACAATTATTTCTGTGTTAAATTCTAGGTGGTCCTCAAGTTATGACAGTAACAGAGCCTGCCCATTATAGTCATAAGTCATAACCATCATAAAATGAATTTGTTCATATGACCGACCTAATTTCATGACCTTTTTTGCAAATATTGAGAGCCCATTGTTCAGCCTGGTGCAATTTTGCCTCAAACCAGAAAAAAGTGCCAGTTTTTTGGCAAAATCATCCAAAAATGCAATCAAGTGACCACCAGACACTGTCAAGTGGCTCTAAAATGTGATTGTGTCACTGAGTGCCCGAAGAGAGTCATGTGATTGGAGTACAATTGTCAGAACGTCAGATCTGGGTTGTAATTCACCTCCTTCAAGTTGGTTATAAGTCAAGGACTAGCCATCTCTTCCACTTCAGGAAGAGTTTTCTGACTGGAAATTGGAAGAATTAAACCAGTGGCCATTTTGTGATGATTTTTTCACATCCTTGAACTCGGCTCCCTAACTCACAGAGGAAAGAGTTTTTAAAAAAATGTTCTTGAGAAATTAAAAACACAATCCTTTCAGCCGTTCCAAGAAAGTTTCACACCAATTTGCACTACTCAAGTGACCCTGGGGGCATAGACAAACCTCCAAGTGGCCTTAGCGATTCTCAGAGAGAGTACTAATGACCAGAGGATTGCAAAAAAAAACCTTCCATTCTCCTGAAGAAGCTTCTTGAATCAGAAGCAAAACATCTTCAAGGAAAAGCAAAGAAAGTCCAGTTTAATTTTGAAAACAAAAAAAAGCGGGGGGGATCTCTATAGACATTGAGTTAAGGAAGAATCTCTTTGGATGACTTCTACACACCCTGAAGCCCACCCCAAATATTTGTGGTTTGGATTCCACCCCAATCACGCTGCAGGATCCATTTAGACCCAGCCCTGGAGGCTACATATTTGCAGAGCGGCTGGTTTGCAAAGCCAGTTTGCAGCCACCCGCCGAACTCGGTTTCTCGCAGACCAAATTCCCTCTCCAACCTCTTGTCTGTTTCTTTTCCCCCCCGCAAGCACGGAGAAAAATGGCCCCGTGGTGGCTCTGCTTGCTCCTCTTTGCCGGTCTCTCAAAAACGTCTCTCCAGGAAGGTGAGTATCTATCGATTCACCAAAGATAGTCGAGCAGCCCAATTCGCCATGCAAGATTTAAAACCAACCATGGAAAAGATCCAGGCCCAGAAGGTTGAGCTGCTTGACTTGACTTTCTATTTGGCTTTTGACTTTACTTCTTACTTTATTTTATTTTTTTACTCTTTGCTTTGTGTTTTACTTTACTTTGTGTCTTCCTTTCCTTTCCTTCTGTTCTAGATCCATTTCCTTCCTTTCCTTCCCTCTCTCTGTTGGTCCTTCCTCCCTCCCTCCCTCCCTCTCATTTTATCTTCCCTTCCCTCTCCTAGTCCTTCCTTCCCCTGTTCTATCTTTCTTTTCCCTTCCTTCCTTCTCTCTGTTCGTCCTGCCTCCCTCCCTCCTCCCATTCTATCTTTCCTTTCTACCTTTCCTTCCCTCCCCTCTCCTTAGTCCTTCCTTCCTCCCAATCTCCCGTTCTTTTCCTTTCTTTTCCTTCCCTTCCCTTCCCTCTCTCCTAATCTTTCCTCCCTCCCTTCCATTCCCTTTTCCTTTCCTTCCCTTTCTCTCAGTCTTTCCTCCCTCCCTCCCTCCCATTCTTCCTTTCTTTTCCTTTCTTTTCTTTTCTTCCCTCCCCTCTCCTTAGTCCTTCCTTCCTCCCATTCTCCCATTCTTTTCCTTTCTTTCCTTTCCTTTCTTTTCCTTTCCTTTCTTTTCCTTCCCTTCCCTCTCTCCTAATCTTTCTTCCCTTCCTTCCATTCTCTTTTCCTTTTCTTCCCTTTCTCTCAGTCTTTCCTCACTCCCTCCCATTCTCCCTTTCTTTTCCTTTCTTTCCTTCCCTTTCCCTCTCTCTCAGTCCTTCCTCTCTCGCCTTCTCCTTCTCCCTTTCTTTTCCTTTCTTTCGTTCCCTTTCCTCTCCTTCCACCCATTCTCCCTTTCTTTTCCTTTCTTTCCCTTTCCTTTCCCTTTCTCTCAGTCCTTCCTCTCTCTCTCTCCCATTCTCCCATTCTTTCCTTTCCTTTCCTTTCCTTTCTTTTCTTTTCTTTTCCTTCCCTTCTCTCTTTCTTACTCTTTCATCCCTCCCTTCCATTCTCACTTTTCCTTTCCTTCCCTCCCCTTTCTCTCAGTCCTTCCTCTCTCTCCCTCCCATTCTCCCTTTCTTTTCCGTTCTTTTCCTTCCCTTCCCTTCTCTTTTCTCTCTCTCTTAATCTTTCC